AAAATTTGCTCTTCAAGGCTAGATACATAATTCTCCCTCCATCCCTCTCATTTTGCTTGAAAACTCCAAGTCCTACACCTTGTTTTCTTCATCACCACCAAGCTCTATCACCACCACTCCATCTCAGCAGCAAGGAGAGGAATTCCAGCAGCTTAGAGGCAACAAATTTGGTCCAAGAAGTTGCTAGAGTTTGGTCTACAAGGGTGAGTTGCCATTTCTCTCTTTTTAGCTCATTTCTTGCAACATTTCTTAGCCTCTCTTTCTTGTACATTTGAGTTCCGGCCATAACTGAAATTAGTGTTATTTTGAGCTCATTTTCATCTTTCATTAAGGATATTTCTCTGTTTGAGTTTTATTTTTGGCACTTGCTTCACAACCCTCTTGTATGCCATCCTTTTTGTATGATATTTCTAGCCCATGTGTGATCTGTTTTTGAGCATTCTATAAACTGTAAATGTGCTTATTTTGGGCTCTTCTTCAACATTGTTGAAGGGCCCATCACCATTTGCTGTTTCTCTATGCCACCTACCATTATAGCCCTCTTTCCCCCTCATTCTTGCATGTTTTGTTAGCCTATCATGATTTTGTTTTTGGCCATTTTACAGTTCTGAAAATAGTCTTATTTTGGCCCATTCTTCATCCATTTTTGCATAAATTGGCAGCCCCCTTTGCTTCTGTTTTTGGCTTTTCCACAGAACTGAAAGTGGCCTTATTTTGGCCTATAATTCATGTTTCATTAACATTTTTTTCTGTTTGGTGATTATTTTGTATACTTCATGTTATAGCACCTTTTGAGCCTCAATCTTATGCCTTTTTTTAGCATGTTTGTATATTGATTTGAGGTTTTCCATAAACTGTAAATGTGCATATTTTTGGTCCCTCTTCAGTGTTGTAGAAGGGAATTTTTCAGTTTGGCTTTTGCATATACCACTTGCTTAATACCCCTCTCTTGACCCTCATTTTTGCATGCCATTGTTGCTCTACCTATGCTTGCTGTTTGACCATGTTCATAACTGAAAAAATTCCTATTTAGGGACTGCCTAGCTTCTGTATTTGTACTTCATGTCCATATTGTGCACGCATTGCATAGCTATAGGCCATTTCGGGTGCCTAAATTCGCATTTCGGGACTATTCCATGCATTTGGTGTCATTTCGCCTCATTTCGGGACTGTTTTCCCCCATATTTTAGTGCTGAAATTCCATTAGAATGATTGCTTTCCATTTTCATGTAGCATTGCGTATGCCATTGCCTCGGTTTGCGTGCCCGTGTGCACGCATTTCGAGGCACTTCATTTTCATCCATCGGCCTCTTATGTGAGTGATAGTGGCATGTATATAATATGATAGTGGTGTTGGTGGTAGATAGTGGCATGTATATAATATGATAGTGGTAGATAGTGGTAATATATAATATGTAAGTGGCATATAATGGGTTATAATGATGTTTGTAATATCTCCTATATAAGGAGTGTCATTTGGTCTTATAAGATAAGAAGTTTTGAATATAACAGAAATATATTCCTTCTTCCTCATATTTTTGGAGTTCTTCTTCCTCATATTTTCTAAATCAGGTGGAATGAATTTACTCTTCCTAAACGAAAGAAAAATCAACCACATGCAGTTAATAGGCAGCCATGTTGCCATCCTTAGCCAAAAGTTCACATTTGTTAAAATTAAAATACACTTAACGGATTGTCCTTCAAATTTACAAGGATTAATCCCAAAGACAATGGAATAATACAGGTAAGAGAACTCTAGCACCTCAGAAGAACAAGTTGGGGTAGTGTGGGATCCTAAGAAGTACAGGACACTAACAACTTGACCGTGGATCAAGGGTACTTTAGAGTAAGGGTATGATGGTATTTCCGCACTTGTGGCATGTTGCCATAATTTTTATGTATTTATAGTTAAGGGGGAACAGCTCTCTCTCTCTCTCTCTATATATATATATATCTTGTAAAATTTCTAATCATAGTAAAAACCGAAACAACTGTGGATGTAGCCCTCATTTGGGGTGAACCATGTAAATTTTTGTGTTCTTATGTGCTTGATTAGATTCCTGCTTTTATTCCTGTTTGTATTCTATGTCTCACCGATCCTAGTTAGGTATATCAATTCCTAACACAACACATTTATGCATTTTATCAGTCTAACTTCTGCATTCTGCAATTCTGTCAGATATACTCGCATCTGACTTTCATATTATCACTTTTCAGCTGAGTATTGCTCAGAAATTCCAACATGCTTACAGAACATCTCTCACATATCAATGTAATTAATGGTTAATAACCTGAAGACAGAAGATCCCATCGTACGCAGAGCCTCCTTTGCCCGTTGGCTCCTATCTCCATGGCTTACCTGTGTTTAGAGCAGAAATGTTGTCAACAGAACAATTGGTTTTCCTAGCAAGTCCTGTTGAATTGGCTCTACGCCAAACAACAGCTACTGCCTCCTTCAATAAGACAAGTAATCACTACTACAAATCCTTGAAACAAAATAAAAACTGCATTTGAATACTGACAGAGAAGGCATGTGATATGTGCACACAGAACTCAACAGCAATCCCTATTGACATTATGAGGTTCACCACAGAAACAGCATTCAGTTGGATATCCAGAATTGCCATCACACCCTGCAGAGTTTTTATCAAGAAAATTTTGGTTTCCCTTTTTTTCTTTGGACAAATTGTGTAGCCAATATATAAGTTGTAAAAATCAATGTATAAAGAGAGAAATACAGAGAATATTGTATCTATTGATGTAGTTATTGATTGATAATAATGTTGTTGTTATTTTGTATTACCAACATGGTTCTTATATAATGCTAGGTGGTAGGAATGGTGTGTATGGATGGTGATAGTGGTTAGTGGGTTAGGTTTAGTGGAGTAAGGTGAGGTGGTAAGTGGTGTAAGTGGGTTAGGTTTAGTTGGAGTAGGTAGGTGGTAGTGGTGGAGGTGATGGTAAATTCTAACAGCGCAAACTCAAGGAGGAATAAAAGACAACTGAGTTTGAAGAGAGGAACACAAGAAAATACCCATAAAAAAAAAAAAATGGTAGGAGAACCCCTGTATGGTCGTGTCAGACCTGTTGGTGAAGACACGTATGGTGGTGTCCATATAACGTTGTAGAGGACACTGTATGTGGTGTCTAAACCGTTGTAGATAACGTATGGGGGTGTCATAACGTGGTAGAGGACACCTGTAGGGTGGTGTCAGACCGATGTAGAATACCATTTAATGGGCGGTCATGTTCGGACCCGTTGTAAGCGACAATGTTGTGACAGTTTAACGGAGTCTTGCTGGAAACCCTTGTAGAACTAAACGGAAATCACATGTCGGGACAGTTTACAGAGTCTTGTCGGACCCATGAAAGAAGCTAACCGGAATCAATGTCGGACAGTTTTACGAGAGTCTTGTCGGACCATGAAGGAGTAACCGGAATCAATGTCGGGACAGTTTACAGAGTTCTTGTCAGACCCATAAAGAGCTAACGAATCATGTTGGACAGTTTACAGAGTCTTGTTCGGACCATAAAGGAGCTAACCGGAATCATGTCGGGACAGTTTATAGAGCTTGTCGGACCCTAAAAAGTCGACCCTCAAAAAGTGTGCCGCATTCCTTTCAAAAGGCGTGCATCAAAAGGCGACCAGACAATAAAAAGATTGCCGACATGATGGCGAGCAACGTGGAGGCCTTGACTCGCGCGGACCGTTTGTCGTCTGGCGTCACCAGTGGCGCGCGATAACGCGTGGCTGCTCGCTATTAACCAGGTGATGCTGAGGCTGAGGCAGACAAAAACCTTCTGAAACTCCTCTAAAACACTCTTCCTTTGCTTGGAGAGAGAAACTTGTAATACTCTTAACCAACCGTCTCTGAAACACTCAGCACATGGCCTCTTTTCCCGTCCAGCTACCCAGAACATGGCCTCCTCTTCCCGTGGTCGCTCACGCTCTTATCCAGAACTGAAACGAGTCCACAGAGAAATAACTGGTGCGGTGGCCAGTGAATCTCAACCAAACACTCTGGTTTTTGGCTCCGTTGAAGCTTTCCGATAGCGGTCGGCTGAGCAAAAAAGTGGCGGTGCAAACTGATATTAGGCCAAATCAGTATACCTGAAGTCAGTGTGTGGAACCATCGACTTGCGGTCACAACTTGTCGCACCGGCTGCAGAGCAGACAAATGAGGTGCACAGTTAAAATCTCCCAGCTGGCTCTGCTCCAAACCATGTATAAGGATGCGCGAGCAAGATGATAAGTGTGCAAAGACAGAAAATAAGGATGAAGCGGAGGAACCGTTGGGGATGTTCCGATTTGGAGGCGGCCGTCAATAATGCCTGGCGTGGAGGAGCAGGGAGTAGTGTCGTGCCAGTGGAGTGGGACACGGAGGCAACACCGTCAAGGGCCGCCCAGGAGGAGGCAGAAAGAAGAGACCG